TTTCAATTACAGAACTAGGGTTTCTACAAGGTAATTGTTCACCCTGACTATTGCAACCCTCTTTGGTCATCCACGTTCATACCTCAAGCTGATCATCTCTTTTGAGAATTCTGCACTGAAAATCATTCATTTTTCTCATTTCTTTGACAGCATACCCTGGAGGTGGGTGAATGTTCGGCCCTCCAAGTATTGTTGGACTGCAGCACTATTGAGCCCTAGCCAGCATAGTCAATAATGGAAGCTTGGTCCCCATCTGGTCCCATCCTTGAGCTATAATAATAATAATAATAATAATAATAATAATAATAATAATAATAATAATAATAATAATAATAATAATAATAATAATAATAATAATAATAATAATAATAATAATAATAATAATAATAATAATAATAATAATAATAATAATAATAATAATAATAATAATAATAATAATAGTGTTCCATCAAATTGATTATGACTTAAGGTGACCCTTTCCTGGGTTTTCTATGAATTGAGTGCTCAGAGGTGGTTTACATTCCCTTCCTCTGAGGACACTCTATGCCTGTGCAGCTTGCCCATACCTACACAGGTTGGTTGTTTTCACAGGAAGCATAGTGGGAAATTGAACTCCCAACCCCTGGCCCTGCGCCAGATACATAAATTACTCAGGTATCCAGCCAGCTTGATTATACCTCTCCTTAAAACTGTATGTTAGCTTCCTTTCTGCTTCTGAATCCAATACAAATTGCTCATCTTTACCTGCAAATACCATCATAGCTTTGCATCCCCAACTTTCTGCACTGCTATCATAATACATCCCTCTCTGTCAACTTTGCTCCTCCTCCGGTTGTTTCTTCTTCGACTCGGCTCTTCCTTGCTGGATCGAATGGCTCCATACCTTCACTGCAGTTCCCTAGGCTTGGAACTGCATTTCAGAACATCTTAGTTTTGCTACTTCAAATTCCATCTCAAAACTTACCTTATCTGTGCAGACTTTAGAATGATCTAGTCCTGATGTCCTAATGTAATGTAAGCAGAACAATTAAGCAAGCATGGAAGAAGAAGGCAGGGTCATGATAAAACTGGGGAGAAAGCTGAGCAAGGATGGAAGAAGAAGGCAAAGCAATTACTATTTTCTGTTGCTTTCCAGGGTCATGATAAAACTGGGGAGAAAGCTGATTTGCCTCTTTATTTGTCCTGTTTCAGCTGATGGTTAAAAACGTTTGTCTCACTTTGGTTTCAATAACATAAACTATGAGTGGGAAATACACCCTGTCATTTGCAGGGTGGCGTTCTGATAACAGAGGAACAACAAACAGCCCTGAACTTTCTCACCCACCTCCACATGGCAAAGATTTGCAAGGAAAGACCCATGATTGTCTTTCTCTTGGGTGGAGAGGAGGTTGTAGGTTGTTGTATAGCCTCCAGGATACTAAAGTTTGTAGAGCTACTCCCTCAGGATAAAAAACTTTTAAATTGTACAGTGGTGCCTCGCATAGTCCTAAGGATAAAAACTTTTAAATTGTTTTAATGGATATTCTTCCCATGATTATCTCCAAGTTCTTGTCCTCTTCTTTCTTGTGTCTTCTTTGAATTGAATCTTACCCTGTTTCTCCGAAAATAAGACCTAACCTGAAAATAAGCCCTAGTATAATTTTTCAGGATGCTCGTAATATAAGCCCTACCCCCAAAATAAGCCCCAGTTAAGTGAAACCCTGCCTTCCACCCTTGTGCAGCAACCAGAATGACATGACTGAATTTGAATAAACGTAGATTGTTGTACATGAAAAAAATAAAATAAAACATCCCCTGAAAATAAGCCCTAATGCTTTTTTGGAGCAAAAATTAATATAAGACCCTGTCTTGTTTTCAGGGAAACATGGTAGATGGTAAAGTCTTCAGGAGGAGGAGGTGTTTTTCTTAGATCTCCACTGACATTGATGATATTACTGGCTAGTGGCAGTAGTAGTGATGGTATAAATAAACATGTATACACTTATCTCAATATGTTTGAGGATTCTAGAACTGAAACCCTACAGTAGCTTATAGAGCATATTGTGGCCATGTGAAGTATATATAGGAATTAGAATGAAATAAGGATTGTTCTCAACCAATGAAAATGCTGCAGAAACAGGCCATCAGAGGTTCTAGAGATGCTGATAAATAAACCTTACTACTAGCACCTACTAACAAAATAGCAGTCTCAATTTCATACATATATAAGGTTGATTGAGATACTTTCACTATCAACAATAGTACAAGGTTGCTCAGAAGCCCATCACATCCAAGGCTAAAATGTGATAGTTTGAAGTATGTAAATAGGTATTTAATCTACAACCTAGTAACCCTGGAAGGACTTACATTGGCAACTAATAGCATCTATATGGGGGATTGTTGTCAAAAGTGTAGTGGAAAAGAAAAGGTTTAATCCTCACCTCATTTACACACATATTTCAGTCATGAAATGTTAAAAAAAAACCACACATACTGTAGATACAATACCACATCTAGGTAAGACAGTTTCCTAAGTTACATTGCTTGGTTTTCTTCAATAATGCAATTGTTAGGAGGAATCGACTGTTTGATAGAGACAAGACGAGGGAAATCTTCTGAATACTACTAGAGAAATGAATAAGTAGAAGAGGAAACTAATTATTTGTATCTGTTTTTGTAGAATTGTTGCAGCAATATATTTGTGAATGAATTTTTATAGAACGTCCAAGAAAATTCAATATAATACCCTTAGTAGCACAGCAAGTGATATTCCTTATTCATTTGTATTTTTCGTTTTGTGGGGTCATACTTCTGTCCTTTGATATAAAGGCTAGAAAATGCAGGTGCACGGTTGTTCTTTATTTTGTTTTACAGTTCATTCACCAGGGGATAATTGTGGCTATTCACAATCATTTAATAGTAGGGAAAGGGACTATGTAATCTCCAGCACACCCTTCACAAACAGTGAAGTCATTTGGGCTGCAGAGGTCACTTAAGTTCCCTACATCCATGCTGTAGGTGTATTGGGAGTCAGGAAAAAGAGAGCGTGTTTGTCCCTTCCTACTCTCCCGTTACATGCTACTGAGTAGTGTGCACCAGATGGAGCAGTCTGATTCAGCGAGCCACTATGCAAGAACCCTTGCTTCTTCCTGTGAAGACTTGGAGTTGTCTTACATAGAGTTGCTGTTGTTATGTGTAGCTAATGTTTATGAGCGTGAGGGTTGATGAATGCTTCATTGAAAGGAGAGAGGGCTTAAATTGCTACACTCTTGGGGACTCCACAAGAGTGATGTGTATAATTTAATTTGTGGCCTAGATCTAATTATTGCCCCCAAATAGCATGAACCAACAGAATCTGTGGAACCAACGTAAGTGTTGTCTTAATATTGTGGGCAAAAAGGAAACCTGCAGCACCAATTAAAGCATTTTTTAAAAAAATGAGTTGGCAAAATGGAGATTTTAGGTGGGAATCATGAGTGAGGAAAGAAGTAAGCTATCATGATCAAACACACACCACTTATGTTTAGGCAAGAGCTGATTGGAAGGCTACGGTGTGCTAAGTTCCAGATCAGATATATCTTAAGGCACTTCACTTTTCAGAAAAGAAATGGACATTGTTAAAAGTAACGAAGCAGTAACACCTTCTTCCACCAAGAACTGCCCGTCCTACACGTTCATCCCAGGTGGGTTGTCTGAGCATGCTGACCCCAGACATCCTTCTGGCCATTTTGCTGTTAACATTTTAAAAACTTCTAAAAACTTGGCTGTTTAGACAGGCATTTCCATCAATGGAAACCTGTTGAAATTACCAGCCTTAAGAGAACGATACTGCCATTGTAATTTTTTAAATATTTTAATGTGTCACTGTTTGAATGTTGTTGTATTTTATGATGTTGTATAAGTGATATTTATTTATGTCTGTACTGATGTTTTGTCTGACTGTGTGGTGCCCTGCCCAGGGTAGCTTGGATGGATGGGTGGTCTACTAAATCAATCAATCAATCAATCAATCAATCAATCAATCAATCAAGCTCAAATGTGATATGAGGCCTCAATTGAACTTCTTGTTGAATTAAGGTGTTGTATAAGAATAGTCATGCAAGATCAAACCAAGGCCTACCTAGTCCATCTGACTGATAATTGAACCTGTATCATCTAGTTTTAGTTGTCATTCCAAGCTGGGCCAGGTGGAACCAAATTCAACTTGACTTGTAGAACATCTATGCTTGGTGAATTGACTTTTACATTGCTAGGCTGAATAGCTGTCAAGGTGTCTCTAACTTTACACTTTAAAAACATCAACATCTTCTGTTCCCTTCTCCAATATAGATAGGGCCAGTGTAGAAAGTATGCAAATAAGCTAAAAAGATTTTCCACATATTTTCATGAAGCAGATTGCATATTTTTGTGAGCAAATAAAAAACTGTTACACTTGTTCTTTAACTCCACCATATAATAAATTGTAAGGTGTTATTTATTATGATGAGTATTTACTTTCAACATTTATTTTTAAAATACAATAGGTTCCCATAGGATGCAGTATAGTCCTCTGTCTTTGTACTAAACAATTTAAATTCTTTCCTGCATATTTGTGTTCAAAAATAAGTCCTGCTGAGTTTAATGGGACTTATTCATAAGTAAGTATACATATTAGAGATTCAGTGTGTAGCTCCAAGCACAATAACTAGGAAGCAAGCCCTATTGGATGTGTGAATTCACTTCCTAGTAAACATTTTAAAGACTTGGCTGTTAATATAGCAAATTCCTTACCACTTAATTACTATATTTTACTGCCTGTCCCAAGGTGTCCATCATCTTCTCACAACTGGAAATGCAGCTGTCCAAAGCTATGCTACTGTGTGTATTGTCTTCACTTCCAGTTTTATTTTTTTATAATAAGAAAATATTTGATTTGCAACAAAACATCACTTACGGTTATTGTTACAGAGTCTGTTGCGTTGTTTTATATCTGTTCTGTATCTCTGACATTCCTAACAAATTTTAATTTTGTATTTTTGTAGATTTTTTCTAAAGTTTTTCCTCAAGTGCAATCAAAACTGTTTGAAGAATGCAGGCAACCCACGAGATATGCGAAGATTCCAGGTACAGATTTCAAGGAGTTAAGAATACTGCAGAAGGCTTGCAAGGCATGGAAAAAAGTTATGCAACTAGTTTAATTTCAACCCTGCTATCAATCTTGAATAGCTGGCAGGTTTAATTGAAAGATATATTTTTCAGTTCTTCAAGAGCTCTCAGTAGAGAAGCATGAGTTCTGGTCCTCTTCTTCCTAACTTTATTTCAGCTGTTGCTCCTGCGGTGATCTGAACAAGGCTAAGCAAGTATGTAACTTACTGCACCCCCCCACCCCCAATAAGCACAAACTCAATAGCAGCTGCTTCCCTACTGAGACACTGGAAGGTTCCAGCCTCAGGCCTGCACCGAGGCATTCCCATATGTATGACTGAATAGAGAAGCACTGAAGCCTTCAAAATGGTAACAGTGCTATCTTCAAAACTTTCTTTCTGTCACTGAAAAGTTAAATCTAGAGAAACATTTTGCATCTGCCAAATACAATATGTTTAGTGAATTTTTTTTAAAAAAAAAATCTTGAATTTTGGTCTAATCTTTGCAATTTTCTCCAGATTAAAGACTAGTGTTTTTTTTCCAAAAAAATAAAGTTTTTAAAAGGATAGAGGTTTTCTATTTGTTACTTGTTTATATTTTCTAAAACAAAAAACAAACACAAGAACAAGAGTGACACAAGACCATGGAGTATTAGCCTCAACAGAGAATTATTGTTTTAACTTATTGGTATCAGTTACAGAACAATGCAACATTTTAATTTAGGAATATATTTTAGCCCCAGAGATGGTCTTGGAAAGAATACCTTGTAGTCGAACATTGCCAGATACCCTGTGTTAGAGATTTTTTTTGTACAGTCAACCAATCAAGTGAAGCTAGCTAACAGTAAATATTTGTGTAGTGAAGAAAAAAACTACCCTTCAGAACAATTTCACCAAGCCTCCATTTTTCATGCAGCTCAGGTGCATGTGGCATTGATAATATTGATCCATATGAACAAAGCATAAATTGAAACCTAGAATGAGTGGAAATGCACCTCTTGTCTCACCAGTGACTAAATCAAGCATCATTCATGAGTAATCTTGTGGTTTGCAGTGAAGCTATTGGAAAGTCTCTAGAAAGACATCTTTGGGTTTCCATAGCTCGTATGCCTACTTCTCAGAAGGTTTAAGTAGATTTATCAGTATGCCAGGACTTGCACAATATTTCCAACTTATTTTTTTAACTATCTCAGCATTTTTCTTTAGATGCACTGCAGGAATGAACCAATAAAACAAAGGAGAGAGCATATGTACTTTTGCTGAACTACAGAATTTTTCCTTTGTGATTACTGACCTATATATCAGTGGTGGAGCAAAAATAAAATGTGTATTTTAAATAGTTATCTCTCTCTCTAGAAAACACATTGTGCTCTAGCAACTGTAAGAAAAACAACTTTGCTTGGAATTACACTTAACAAGCTTCATTCTCTGGCAATTTCTTGGATAACCTCAATCCTGGAAGCATTATATGTGTTTAGAATTGAGGATGTCAGTCACTTCTAAAACTCATTAAAAGCTAAAAACAACTGCTTTAATGATGTGGCTGTAGGGACTGGAATTTGGGGTGTTGGAGGTAAAGTCCAACTTTATGAATCTCTTGTAATGGATGTCCTGGAGAAGCAATACAGTCTGACTCTTCAGAGAAAACAGCAGAGGCTAAAGAATCACTGTATTCTTGAGAAACACCCTCCGGCTTCTCTCAAGGGGGACACAGATGGCTGCCTCAGAGGAGGCAGAATATACTGGAGAAGGTGCTGTAATAGCTGATAGCTAATTACAGCATGTGGGGAAGAAACCAGGATCAAAGGTGACCTAAAACAAAGAAAATAGGAAAGAATTTGCATCTGATGTCTTGGACTCAGTATTCTCCAAAGAGAAAGTTACCTTGTGTTTTCATTGTAGGATGCACCATTCCTCCTACAATTTTTTACCAAAAATAAAAAATAAAAAATGGTGCATATATATGAAGTTTATATATTAAAAAACTTCGGGGGGGAAATGGCCAAGGGTGACAGCACAGAAGTGGTTAAAATGAGTATGGAGATGATGACTGAATGGTTTGAAATCATTTCATAAATTTGGCTGAGGGATCTTGTCATATGCATATGTGGCATTTTAAACAAAAGATAATAAACCTAGGCATAGACTCACGATAACAGGCAAGGGCTTTTCATAATAATTTCCTTTTCCATTATTTTATTTTATTTTATTTTATTTTATTTTTATTTTTTGCAATAGCACTCTTAGGGTACAGGTCACAATTCTGTGGTTATAGATGTGCATTTGCCTAAACATTTTTTTAAAAAAATTATATTAAGGAGAACTTAGCACCTATAGTGATCTCTTTTTCTTGGATGAACTCTGATATTGGACATAAGAACAGAGCATATTCAGTTTTTTAAAGAAAGTTTGGTTGGCATAACATAATTAATCAGCTTGTACAGTAACCTGAGAACAGGTGTTTTTCATGGATTGAAATTCCTTTATATTAATGGTCTGGAATCATAAGGTTTACATAACTTGCTGCAGTTAACTGTGGTTGATTAACAAGGTGCTGCAGACGTCTTAGTTGTGCAATCAGGTGCATGACTAGGCATATAGCTAAGATTCACTCTGGTACTTTGTGAATTAGCTATACTCAATCATGGCAAGTTGTGCAAGCTTTATTCAAACACCAGCTGGATTTTACCAGTTGTCTTCTCAGAAAAAGTTTATGTCACTTTAAGGCTGCAGTCCTTTAATGTCCGAAAAAGCATTCAAACCCACTTTTTCCACTGTGTGAGATTTTTTTAAAAATACTTCTTCCTGGGAAAACCACAGCCTTGAAGTGATATATTTCAAGAAGTGAGTTCACAAAAGCTGGTGCCAAATAATACTTGTTAAACTTCAAGTTACCACACAACTGTTTGGTTAGAATGCTACAGTGGGGTCTCTACTTAAGAACGTCTCTATTTAAGAACAATCCAACTTAAGAACAGCTCCATTTGCTAAATTTTGATTCTACTTGAGAACAGAAATCCAAGATAAGAACAGGAAAAAAAACCTTTCCTGCTCTTTTTTTAACCTTAGGTCATCTTAGGTTAAAAAAAAAGTCTCCCCCTAGTGGGAGAGTACGTATTAACCAGCTTTGCATTAGTTCCTATGGGAACTAATGCTTCAATGTACGAACGCACCTCTACGTAACAAAAAAACAGCCAGAACGGATTAATTGGTTTTCAGTCCATTCCTATGGGAAATTTTGCTTCAACTTAAGAACATTTCAACTTAAGAACACCATTCCAAAACGGATTAAGTTCTTAAGTAGAGGTTCCACTGTAGTTTCTATGGACGGAAAAGAGCAGATACGGATTAAATGGTTTTCAATGCATTCCTATGGGAAATGCAGATTCAACATAAGAACTTTTCAACTTGAGAACCACCTTCCAATACGGATTAAGTTCTTAAGTAGAGACCCCACTGTAATACTTTGCATAAGGTCAAACACACAAGTGATTCTACATATTTAGCCGGCTGCTGATTGTGCTTCCTCACATTCAGCCATTGAATAAATAATCACATGTCTGACATGCAGTGGATGGTGAATGAAAAAGGAAAACTGTTTGCATGATTGCCCTTACATGCCCAGTTTTCCTCAATAGCAAATTGAAGATTTTTAAAAAATAAGCCTTTTCCATGAGACTGGATAAACTTTGTAGTGCTTCTTTGACATGTGGATGCTAATAATGGAAGCCAAAGAAAGAAATCGTAGAGTTACTCCATGAATCTGCTGGGAGAGGTAGAGCCACAAGGTTCAAAGTCCTTCGGTGCTCCTGACAGATCTCCCTAATGGGAGGAAAACAACACCAGTCCTGGACTTGTCAGTCCTCCCTTTATCTTCCAATACAGTGGTGCCTCACATTACGACGTTAATTTGTTCCAACGAAATCGCTGTCTTACGAAAATGTCATAATGCGAAATTAAAAAGCCCACAGAAACACATTAAAACCCGATTAATGCATTCCTAGGGGCTTGAAACTCATCGTCCAGCGAAGATCCTCCATAGCACAGCCATTTTCGCTGCCTGTGCAGCGAGGAATCCATCCCAGAAAGGAGTGGGGAGCCATGTTTTTTACCCGGTGGCCGTTTTGAAACCGCCGATCAGCTGGCCGAAAATCATCGCTTTGCGATAATCAGTTCCCGAAGCAGGGAACCAATCATTGCAAAGCGAAATTCCCCCATAGGAAACATTATTTTGCGATCGCTTTTGCGATTGTAAAACCTTCAACGTAAAGCAATTTCGTCGTAAAACAGAGCGCTCGTAATGCAAGGCACCACTTTAGAATAGAAACAATTTAAAAGGTGGGGGAGGCTGGAAATTACTCCTACAGTGGGGTCTTGACTTGAGAACTTAATCCGTATTGGAAGGCGGGTCTCACGTCAAAAAGTTCTCAAGTCAAATCTGCATCTCCCATAGGAATGCATTGAAAACCATTTGATCCGTATCTGCTCTTTTCCGTCCATAGAAACTAATGGGAAGCTGCTATTCCGCCTTCGACCACTAGAGGGGGATATTTTGTTTCTTTTTTTCTTAGGTCAAGAAAGGTTCAGGGAAGGCAAGGAAAATACAGTCCAGGCAGTACAGTACCAGGCAGTCCGAAGACTGTCTCCCAATCCACTCTCTAAACGCTGGGAGGAGTGAGGAAGCAGACAGGCACCCTTTTCACTGGCCAACAGTTAACTGAAAGTTCAAATTTTCCACTTTCCCTGCCTCTCACATGGTTTTTTTTTCAGTTCTTAACTCAAATCTAAGTATGTAAGTCAAGTCAATATTTTCCTATGAGAGCGGTTCGTAAGTCAAAATGTTCTTAACTCAAGCCGTTCTTAAGTCAAGACCCCACTGTAATTGTTTTCCTTGCTTGCACAGCCTGGTAGGACTTCAGATAATGTGGTTCCGCCAATTTCTGCTCTCTCCCCAAAAGAGACTAGATGGTAGGGTAGCTATGCAAATTTAATTGTGAAAGTGACCTAGAGACCATTTCTGGAGAGAAAACAGACAGTTATATGTAGTTACTCATTTATGAAAAAAGTATTTTTCCCCTCTGACTTGGAGTACTCTCAATTCTTCATTTGAAGACAGTCTCAAGTGTACAGATTTTAATTGGATAAACTATCTAATCAATATATCAACAGATCAATCAAAACAGTAGCTTTTTAAAATGAATGGTTAGAGGGACGTTTCTGAAAAAAATGGTTAGAAGAATATTTTCCCTGAATTGAATTCATTTGTTACCATAATAGGAGATTAAACTCTAATTAGTGTGGCGAGTGTTGAGGAGAGAAAAAACTGAGTTAAAAAATCTCCACTGATAGCCAAAAAAGAAGTGAATGAATAAATCTGTGTAGGCAGAAAAGAAACAAACTGTATGATTTCAGTATGTCCATAAAAATAAGGTTTATTGCAGGTAGTATACCACATTTTCTGAATCTATATGCTTCAAAAAGGAAATGTGTTTCTTTCTTTTCTTTTCTCCCCCCCAGGTTGTTGTATCAACAACAGTCAATGTGGATGGCCACGTTCTGGCTGTCTCAGACAACATGTTTGTACACAACAACTCCAAACATGGAAGGCGGGCTCGCCGCCTTGACCCCTCAGAAGGTACGGCCCCTTCTTATCTGGAAAATGGTAGGCACACATTTACATGCCTTTTTAATTTGCAATGCTTTTTTGCACCATATTTTATATTTCTACTATATTTACTTTCTCTTTTACTACAATATTTACTTTTCTCTTCTTGATCATTCCAGTAAAATACAGAACATTAGCATTTCTGATTACATTTATAAAAGAAAATCATTCCTTCTGTGTTTGTTTCTGGCTTAAATTTCTTTTCCCTAACATGTAACATTTTGCAATACACAGCCATAACATTCTTTCATTCTTCCTATATGTTTTACAGTTTTTTTCTTGCTATTTCAGTTTATTTTATTTTATATTGGCTTGCCATAATCCGTAGTCTAGAAATACATTCTCTGATTATGAATGTAATTTTAAGTGGATCCTTAAAAAAAACATTACCAACTCTATAAGGAATTTACCGTGAGGTCAGTTTCCTGTTCTTCTGCCCTACTGCAGCAGATTAAGACCCTACCAAGGTTCTGTAAGAGAAAAGACATGCTTTCCTCCACTTATATTCAATAAAAGTGACCTCTCATCTGCTTTCACAAAAGAGCTAGTGTGCAAAGGGAAAAAAATAGTTTAAACTTAGGGATATAAAGTCACCGCTTCTCTTATGCTTCATATGCAAAAATGTAAAGCCAGATAATTACTTATCATCCACTTAAGGCCAAACCTACTTACCAAATGAACCAATAAAAAAGTCATTGATGTTCTCCCGCCATTTTTTTGTGAGTGTAGATATATTGACTAATATTTACATATTGCAATATATATAATCCATACATTTCTATCAATGTTACAATTCTAACAGTGTAAACAATTTGAGAATGACTTATTTGTTCATGGAATTTATATGCCATAAAAAACAAAAACAAAAAAAAAACTTTCCCACATTTCTGACTAGCACAGAGATGGTACTCAAAAGGGCTTAGATCCCACAAAAATAACATGGTAAAATTAATTATGCCAGAATATATAACACCATATAAACCAGTGACGGCAAACCTTTTTGGACTCGCGTGCCCAAAATTGGGGGGGGGGGGGGAAAGCAGTGGCTGGCATGTCACCCGGAAGACCGGAACCGGAAGTGGCAGTTGCAGGGGTAGTCATGGCAATGGACGCAAAACAGAAAGACAAAGGGGGAGGAATCATGGCGACAGGCACAGAACAGGAAGAGAAAGGGGGCAATGGACACAGAACAGGAAGAGAAAGGGGGAGGAAAAGGTTTCTATCCACAAGGGCGGGTGAGAGCAGGGGGAATTCCGGCTGCAGCCACTTCAAAAGGTTTCTATCCACAAGGGCGGGTGAGAGGGCCACTAACTCGTTGTGTGCCAGAAGAAAGGACTTTGCGTGCCACCTGTGGCATGCATGCCATAGGTTCGCCATCACTGATATAAACCATAATAAATGTTCCAAAACCTCAAAAATCTGTGACAATGTGTAAATAGTTGGTGTCAAGATGCAATCTGGTTGTGCAAGGAATAAGGATCCCCTGAAAGTGATTCAGATAAAAATCTTTGGCTCCCAGCCTATATCAGTGTCTGGTCTAAACTATTTAAAACAACAGCTTGCAAAACTCCTCCAATCAGTGACAAGTTATGCTTAACTACAAGTAAAGAAGTAATTCCTCAAACAGTGTACTCCTGCACACTGTGCATAGAAAAGCTATGGAATTTGCTGCTACCCAATGTGATGATGGCTATCAGCTGACAGATGTAAGAGAATTGGAGAAAGTTACGAGA